TATCCTTTCCCCCCATCACCCCCCGCCTACCCCTTTCGAAGCCCCAAACCCACCGCTCCCCGACCTCTCCACCATGGAAGACTACCCCCTGGCTCAAGGCGCGCTCCCCCTTCCTCCGCCCCGCAAAATTCCGAGCCGTACCGTCGCCCCGCCCTGCATCCCTCCACAGGCTTTCCCACCTACCCCTAGCCCTCCTCCTACCGCGACTCCATCCACTAGTACCCTCAGGGTACGAGTGGATGCAGTCGCACGAGGCTCCCGGCCCCGGCCTCCGTGTCCCTCTTCAATCCCTTCCCGCCCTCTCCCGCCTCTCCCACCTCTCCCAACCTCAACAAGTCCACACACGCCACTCCCCCGACGCCCCCCACTCCGAGTGCGACATAAAAAGAGTTTCTGCACCTATTAACAAGAACAATCACGCCTCCTTGCCCGTTCCTCCATTTCACATGACAACTCTTCCCTCAAATTTTGAAACCCAACCGAAGAGGTTAGGAAACCCTCTCGAATTTGTGGCTCTTCTATATCAACGTTCCCATTTTCTTGTATTTGAATGTGCGCTTCTGCCATTTGCGTTATCTGCTCCTCTTTGCACTGAGCACGATTACATTCCTCCTCATACAACTCAGTCACGAGGTCAACAGTTTCACCATCATATGTACTCTCGTCTTGAAATATTCCTTCTTGATTCATTCTCACAAGCATGTTATGGAGTATAACACACGTTTCACTGACTGCAAGGACATCACTCTTGTACCAAAGGAAGGATTCTTTTCAAAGTATATGAAAACGACCCTGAAGGACTCTAAATGCTCTTTCTATGTCTTTCCGCAAAGCCTCCTGCACTTCAGTATACTTACTTTTCTTTTCATTTGCCGGATCATGAATGGGTCGTGCGAATATCGTCCATGCTGGGTATATACCGTCTACCAAAAAATATCCTACCCTCCTCGTTTGCCCATTGCGATGATTTTTGAAGTCAGTAGGAAGCTTTATATCGTACGTACCATTCAGGATAGCCACAAAGAGAGGTGAGACATCACGCCACGTCTTGTCATGGTTGGTGCCACATCTTCCGGTAAACCAATGCCAGATATATAAATCGCGATCACACCATGCCTCCACAGCAATAGTTGCAATGTGTCCTTCATTCGTATTATGATACTGCCCCTTTAGAGCGGCGGGGCAGTTTTTCCATTTCAACTTGCAGCCGTCTACTTATCCAATACATCCCTTAAACCCTGCCTCTTCATACCTATCAGATATTTACTGCAGCTCTTGTTTAGTGGGAAGACTATTCAAAAAGCTTGCCCCATAAATATGTCGAATACACCTACAAAATGTTTTGAAGTACCTTCGTAGGATTTCCCGAGACATTCGGCATCCGTCATCTAGGTCATCAAATGATCTACCTGTACCTAGCACCCGTAGGCATGCTAAGACTTTGATAGCCGGAGCGACACCAAAACGTCCTGCAGCATTCATGCGATGTCCCCAAATTTCAGAGAAAGCTGAACTTAGACCTTGAAGCAATTTCTGAAACGTACCTCTTGGAACTCGAAAGCGGCGGCGAAATATGCTCACAGGATATATGGGAGAAGGTCCGAGGTAATCTTCGAACCACGTACTGACTCGCCTCTCGATGTTTCTTGTCCCAGCCGGTCTGCCTGCACGCGTTCGTTTCTTCCTTTTCGAAATTTCTGAAGCAACGCAAAGTGTTGCCGCTACAGATGCGGTTCGGTTTCGCATGAATACAAAAGCGTCATCTTCGCTAGAGCTGTCGAGTTCCATTACGCTCGGTAGCAAAGCGGCTCTGCTCGCTTGCAACGGAGGGTCTTTGGCATCTTCGGGACAGAATGTCCTGATGATACTGTACTTGGCGGGGGAGCATGATCTAGGAACAGGAGGGTTTTTTTGTTTATTTCTGAGACCATCTCGAAATTGATGGCCCTCGTGCAGTACGACAAAAAAACTAATACTCGGCCCCTTGCGGGCCGTCACATATAGCGACGCACTGATTGTGTTGCGCACTCTTTAGAGCGCTGTATGGCTAAAAATGTGCGCTATAAATTAGCGCACTGGTTGCCTTGCTCTTACAACCAACAAAGAGAACAGAGAATAGAGGATAGAAGCAGATCTTCCCCTATTTGCAATCATCCGGGGCAGAACGTCGACATCTAAAAAAAGCCGAAGGCTTTGCACTGACATCGATTAAACATGCCACCTTCAGCTTTCGTAGCAACTTTTCCTGCCTCTACAACCTTCTTTGAGCGACGCACCCGTCAGTTGCAAACGCCGTTTGTAGCCTTGTTGTATGCCATCTACACACACGGCAAAACAAATGTCCATGCTCCTCCGCAATTTCAGCTGGAGAAGCGCAATCTCGGGTCATCGCCTCTCCAAGTCACCGAGGTTTGTCTCGGCACCATGACATGGGGCATCCAGAATTCCGAGGAGGACGCCTTCGAACAACTCGACTACGCCATAAAAGAGTGCGGAATCAATTTTGTCGACACCGCCGAAGCATATCCGATCCCATTCACTCACCCTCGCTACAAGCCCGGCAACACCGAGCGGTACATTGGAAACTGGATCGCGAAGAATCCTACCTGGCGTGAAAAGGTCGTCGTCGCCACCAAAGTATGCGGACCACATCCAAACTCCTTCGTCGCCGCAGCAAGACATCCAGATCGCCAGTACGAGAAGGGGAAAAGTCCACCTGCTGACTTGGACAAGAAGAGTATCCTTGAGGCATGCGACGCAAGCCTCAGGAGACTCCAGACTGACTACATTGACCTCTACCAGCTGCATTGGCCTGCGCGATATGCACCAGGTTTTGGTTCGAGGACCTACGACTTTTCTAAAGAGCGGGAGAGCGTCGACATGAAAGAAACTTTGAGTGGCATCAAGCAGCTGTTGGACCAGGGCAAAATCCGGGCCTACGGTTTGTCCAACGACACAACGTTTGGAGTTGCAGAAATTGTGCGTGCCGCTGATGAACTTGGCATGCCTCGTCCGGCTTCTATTCAAAACGGTTTCTGTTTACTAAACCGCAGCTTTGAATATGAACTGGCAGAGGCATGCTCTCCTATGCATTACAATGTCGGTCTCTTGCCGTATTCCATATTGGGGGGAGGGGCCCTATCCGGCAAATATCTTGGCAAGCTTGGTGCCAATGGGTCCGATTTGGATCCAGAACTGTCCGATTCACGGTTTGTCATGTTCGAAGGCTACATGAAGAGATACGTACATGAACAAGCGGTGGAGGCAACAGAAAAGTACAAGAAGATAGCTGATGAGGCGGGGATGTCGCTTGCAACCTTGTCTCAAGCCTTTTGCAAATCCAGGGCATACATTCCATCGTCTATCATTGGCGCAACTACAATGGAACAGCTAAAGGAAAATATCAATGCGTTCCGTGTCAAGTTGGACAAAGAGGTCCTAGACAAAATAGACGAGGTTCATGCGTTTAACAAGGACATCGCTTGCAGATAGAGTCGATTTAGAGTACCTTTCATAGTTCAGTTTTTTATGCATACTGCTCGTGGCGGGCGTCACCTACTGTAGTGTCTTTCGCTCGAGGCTGGGGAATTCATGGCCTTTCGAGAAGTTAAAGAGGAAGCTCTCAGCGAATTTCACCAGCCTCGACTCACCATCGATGACTTTGCGTTCACCAGGGAGTCTACATTGAACGCCATTGTGCGGCATCAAAAGAGAGGGGATTACCTTCAATAATGTCACAAGTATTTTGAGCCATCTGGAGTAGAGAGAGCGTCGGCTTTCACACTGTACGTCAGTACTGCACGTGTACATTGTAGGGCACTTTGGCTTGTCTTTGGCAGAGGCCAATCTCACACCACAGCCTTTGTAGGGCTGGGCGTAAAGTTAAGTGTGTTTTAATAGTGCGGATTTTCTGCAGAAAATTCTGCAGAAAAGCAACAAATAATTGCGATCATTCCGTTCCTCTGACCGTGCCCGCCCACAGCTTGGACACACTCGCCACACAGCGACAACATCTTTTTTCTTTGTCCACTTCTTCCAGTCTTATTACCTACAACAAGAAGCAGTTATGGTATCCGCACAAGAACGGCTTGCAGCTCTCAAAACAAAGCTCGAGCAGGCCCGCAACGAAAACTTGAAAGCGGTCGAGGATGAGAGCAAACGTCGTCCAAACTCCTACAACAACAGAAAGCGGAGTTCAAGTGACGCCGAGCTGTCCGGAAGCGAAGAATCTCCGCCCTCTCTCAAAAGCTCTAATTGCAAGCGGCGGCGCGTCAAACGTGAGAGAAGCACTGCTGCGGAAATCGGCTCCGCGGACGAGGCGGATGGCGAAGATGAGGACGATGGGCTTCGCAGTATGAAGAGGCGGGCCAAGAACATGAAAAGGTCTATGCCACTATCTGGTTCGGGTGAGGAAGACGGCAAGCTGCAGACTGTTGCCTATGGCTTGACGGGTCACGACCCAAAGGCGGAGAACATTGACCGGATGGTGAACGAGTTACAAGAGGTCGACAAGCGGCGCAGCAAGTTCCATCGGCGAAGAGCGTTCGACGAGAACCGAACGGAGATCACGTTTATTAATGAGGGTAACCGCTTGTTTAATAAGACGCTAGACAAGCACTTCGATAAGTTTGAGTCGGTTCAGAAGATTAAGGATAGTCTCGAGCGAGGAACAGCGTAAATATAGGACAATCATGCTTGGCTGACGAGGGTTCTGATCTTAGAGCTTGTTTACCATGTGCGCGCGATTGAGTCCGCTTCGAAACTACAGACTACGCGCGGTGGGACTGTATGTGGATTGCCAAGCATTTCCCGCCTCCATCCATGATCACGCAAACGAAAAATCAGCTAGCGTCGACAACAACGAATGAACGAGAAAGCTGAACCCCAAAACGTTATCCGAGGACTGATGGGGCAGTTTTCTCGACTCTACTTGGCCGTTGCTGGGCGATTGGAGAGAAATATGCCGTGAGAGCCGCTGCTTCCCAGTATCTAATTAAAGCTACTTCGGCCGCTCTCTGGTAGGTGGCCTTCTCTCTGTGGGGATGCTTAAACATTGATTGTGCCTTGAGATTGCGGTTCCCAAACGTCAGGGCGTGCATGACATGCGTCCGAACAAACACATCCCCGGACCTCTGAGAGCATACTCTACAATGAAACACGTGTGTACACGAATTAAAATTTGAATCGCAAATCTATTATTTCAGAAGAAATTGGAGCCTTCGCTGTTTTCAACTGGCGGGAATGGCGCCATCCAGAATCCAATGCATCCTGCTCACCTAAGAGGCAGTTGTGTTCCGAAAAAGGCACACTTCGGTGTGTGAGCCCTTCTCTAGCTAGCAAAACGCTTCACCCTCGCAAACGCAGCTGCCGTCGACAGTATCGAACTGCATTTGGCGTCCCTGAGCTCTATTCAATTCGCCCACCGGGGTCCTTTGTGGCCCTTGGGATCTCTTGCAACCCTGGAGCTTCGTCAATCAAGAGAACTGAAGTATCAATCGCGGCTCAGAAAATGGCGTTAGGGACTCAGACAACTGTTGATGAACACTTCCGGCGAATTCGAAGCCAAGGAGAAGAATATATCGCAAAAGTGCTGCGAAAAAATCCTTCTGCTTTGACACGAGAACATATTCTAGCGGCATCATTTCGCTACTTCGAACACCGTCAGCGCATAATTTCAACAAACCGCCCACCATCGCAGTCGTCACAAATCGTAGTCCCCTCACAAGTTGTGGTGTCCGCAACTCGGCCAGACTCTGCCCTTCAAAATCTCATTGCGAGCGCACTTGACAATGACTTGTCCGTACAAGTTCTCATCGATGCCTGCGCTAAGGCCGCTGACTTTCAGCTTTCCGAAATTCTGATTAAGTGCTTATATACCTTGGCAAACATCGGTTCAATATGCGACGAGAAAAATGATGTCGATGGAAGCGGGGAAAAGTCGCAATCTCAAATTGACGATGACGAAATCTTTGGCGTCGATAAGGGTGATGAAGAGAACATCAATCCGCAAACAGGCCAACGAGAAGGCGGCGATTCCCAACGACAAGCTAGCGGTGGCAAGAGAGCAAAAGGCTCACATGAGGTCAGTGTTGGTCGCACCGGCCAGAGTTTTGTCGATGAGTTCGTTTCCAGGCTCGTTGTCGGTACCAGCGATAAACCATGCAGTCGATCGAGGTCTAATGATGCCTTCGTTTCATCTGTTGCAAAGGAAGCTCCTCTATCGGGGCCAGCTTCCGAGAACGTTGTCCAGCTCCTTACGCGAAGGATGAAGAGTGTCGATCTTTTCGAGCTTCCTCCGTACATATACCAACTACTTCTTTTAGCTTCGGCGCGTGCGAACGCAGCCTCGAAGAGCGATATCCTTTTGCAGATAACGCAAGTGTTTGCCCAGCTCGAAAAAAAGACGAGAAAGCAAGAAGAATTGTCCCAGTACATGTTGGAAGAAGATGAAGATGCCATTCTTACCTCCACGGTGAGTTTAAAGGAACTCCGTCAAGTCCAGGGAACGGCTCTGCTACACATTGAATATGCTGTGAAGCAAGACCCGACGCTGTCGGCCGAAATCACCAAACTGGCTAAGGCCGGCGTCGAAACGCCGCAACACTTTCTCACTGCCTTTGGCACGGGTATTCTACTATCTTTGGCGAGGTCTAATTCATCTCAGATGACTATTTTGAACATACTCAGAGAGGCTATTATTCGTTTCGGGAGGGAAATGGTCTTACGCAAGCAGAACATATATGCAGCACGAGTATCTATGAACGATGACGACATTGTAGACCCGCGTAAGTCTATTTTGTTTGTGGCTGATTGCACATCCGAAAACGGCTGGGAGGACGTGAAGGAAAGCCTAATGAACTTTGCATTATTGCTTCTCGATAAGCCACTGGATATTGGAAATGGGGACTGTTCAAACCAGCTAGGAGAAAAGCTACTCTTTAAGCTCTTTTCCTCCCATTCAGTTATTCGCGACAGCATTCTGGAAAACCTGACGACCCGGATCACGCTCCAGGAGAAATCTGCCTACCAGGCCATCTCTGTGATCAAAACACTTGCCAATGAAATTCCGTTTTCTGTTCTTGAGAACACTCGCCATGTTCGGGATGGGATTGAGTTTCTAGTCACTCTACCTCCATGGATGGCCGGTTCTTTGATCAAAGCGTACACTCCTCTGCTTCTCGCTCGACAAGACTTGAGAGACCACTTCCATCTCGTCATTAGGAAGTCTCTCTTTCACAGGGATTCATCTAGTCGAGCAGTCGCAATAACCGGATTCCTGACGGTAATGTCCTTGTGCAGTTCTGTAGCAGTTGGGGCGAGCAGCCAAGTCCACAGGAACCGCAATTCACATGTATCAGCAGCACGTGAGCATGAAACGGACAAGGTAATTGACGCCATTCAGCCAATTCGACGAATCTTCTCATATTCAGCACCACTACGGGCACTGCTTTACAAGACAACAATTCTGCATCTGCAAGATGAAGACATTCGCATTTCATCCACAATGGCTACCGCTATCGGAGAAATCCTGCGAGTCCATTTACAAAAGTTTGTTGAACCTAACACTGCCCCTTACATTGTTATTGAACATTGCGTCGATGAATCTTCAGGAGGAATATTGGTCGAACCATTGGGGGATCTCATATGGTGCCTAGCGATAGTGGAACAGATGAGAGATGCAACATCGTATCATAAATCCTACGTACTTGACCTAGCGAAGAAAGTTGCCGGAGTGAGCTTGCAAGATTTCGCAATCGCAAAGGACCTTGCTTGTGCTCCACGTGAGACAACGAATAATTTGGCCGCAGAGACACACTCTCAAACTGCAGAAGAAGCCGCTGCCAAAGCGAATCGAAATAAGGCTCGTATTGTCGGGTCCGTTTGTGAGGCTTTAATCCATGCTGTGCTTATCATGTCGCCAGAGGTGCAGACGTGGTCCGTAGTTACAGAAACTTTGATACCGCTGCTTGCACTGAAAGCTCGAGTTTTCGAGATGCTCCGAGGCGTCGGCGTTTCTTCTGCTACTGACGCCTTCATCGATCTTGGTGGCGACCCTGCTATCGAGCAGCTGCGACCAGGAATGAGAATGCTACTGCAACGCGGGGTGAGGCCAAACGGCAAGAAGAGCGGCAAGCGTTCAGGGTCTCGGAAGATGAAGGGCGGCGAAGATAACTCTGCTTCTAGTGCACCACATGTTCTCGTTGAGAATCATCGGTTTGGAGCGTTCAGCGTTTTGTCGTCAGCCTCCTCAAGACCTACGCTTCCTTTATCCGTTGTAATGCGCACGTTACAATTGATGGCCGATGCGACCTCCCATGAAAACAATGACGCAAGAAATGCATTTCGCAACCGAACTGACTCTCGAGAATTTCAAGAACTTAGAGTGTACCTACTTGCTGCAGCCCAAAAGCATTTGGAAGATTTCATATCCTCCATCTCTAAAGAGTCGCGAATTGCCTCATTGAAATCCAGCACAAATGTTTCAGGGACAGAATCCTCAGTCAATGCTCTCGCCCGGATGGCGATGGGTGACTTTAAACGTTTTCGGAGATCCGCGTCAAATACACCTGGGCAGGGTGGTATCACAGCTCTGCAGATTTCCGAAAGGTGTGCATGTGCTGCAACGTTCCTTGCAAAACAGAAACACTCTGGACTGCTACCATTCTGCAACGCTCTATTGCTGACTTCTACAAAATCGGAAGAAGGCCACGAGTGTGAAGAGGAAATTTTTGAAGGAGCTGCTGGGGCCTTGGAACAACTCGTTAGCACTCTCTTAGATGACGAGCTTTTCAAGGAGGCGGCGTTAGCCCTTCGTACACATGACGCAATTGTAACAGGGATTTGCGAGACTCTTCCAACTGTAGAAAAGACATCCTCGTTCCTTGACAAACGCGTGCAATGGGCCGTTGACATGTTTTGCGAGAGGAAGATCTCCGATATTGGAATGGTTAAAACCTTGGTACACGCGTGTCTTTTATACACAGAGAACAATAATGACTTGCGACGAGCTGGGCATTTGTCTTTGCGTTTGCTAGAAGTCATTGGTGATTGTGATGAAAATGCTCTTTCGCCGAAAGTTGGCTCTGATAACAATGAGAAGCTTTGCTCAGCACTTTCCGTAACCCAAGAGACGTCTCTTGCTGTGGTGGATGCCACACTTGACGCAGTTGACCGTGCTATTTGCGATGTTGAGTGGTGTCTGGGCCGGATGACATCATTAGAGGCTGCCGTTGGGACTTCATCAATTCACGCTGATAGCACTCATTCCAAAGGGGATCAAGTCGAGAATTTCACATTTATGCAGAAAGAAAATATTTCGAAGCAAGCAATAAGAGCAGAAGATGCTGCGCAGGTTCGCTTAGAGGGTATTGTTCGAACTTTGCGAGGACTCGCGAGATGTGCGATAGCAAAATGGAGCCATCAGGAGCGCCTTTTGAAAACAATAACTAGGGCATACAAATTGATTTCCACTGCAACTCAAGCTCAGGCAAAACGACGTGGAGATCCACGGACCACTTTTATCTCATTGATCAACGAATGCAAGGGGCTGGCACCGACACTTTGGACATATCTGGCTTTTGCTGGAGCAGAGGCCGTGGATATAGAGTCCACAAAGGGGGCTTCGAGGGCAGCGAGAGAGGCCAGGATCATGCCCCAGCTTGTTTACGAGGTCGAAAAATTCGAGAAAGTCCTCATAGCAGTTCAAAAACGAACCAAAATTAATCTTCTGCGTGGAATGCGGCGAAACATTGCGAGGGATTTCAGAATAAGAGAAGATCTCCTGCGTGAAGAGCAATCATCCGATGAAAGGATGGGCGAGGAAGAAGTAAAACAGCTCGAAAATCCTCGCATGAATCAAGGAAATGCCAAAAGAAGGCGAACTTAAAAAATATCCGCACTCTGGGAACGAATTGTAATTGTCAGACTGGTACGGCCGTTTTAGAAATTATTATTCTTTTATAGTGCTGTAGGGCGGACAGCTTTAGATGTTTGAGATTCGTCTGTCATGATCCGGTCGAGTTTCGCTGGGGAGTTTCGGGTAAGGCTTCAAACCTTGGATAAATATATCTTGATCTTTCTGTAGTCTCTCGTCTTGACTTGGCAAAGCCCTTGAGCACTTTGTGATCATTCTGCTCTTCTTTAGACATATCTTCACCGCGATATGTTTCCGTCATCGTCATCACGGCGTAGAAACGAATTGCGCAGCAGTCAAGTGGACCTCAAAAGAAAGCCATGGGGGTGCCAGGTACTTGTAAACTGCATCAGTCGAAGGGTGTTTCGAAGCACTTTCAGGGAAGTGTCGCTGCTTTTTCTACTGTTACTGCTCATCAGTGTAATCGTCATATTGCTGTTTCACGAGGATCTTTTCATACTTATTGCGAAGAAACCTGCACGCGACCGGGGTTCGTATGACATCGTTGTGAAAGCAGAGGCAGAGAAGGCAGTCACTGGAATGAGTTTCCCCCCCTACTTGCCGCTCGCGCAACACTTGAAGAACCTGAAGATATATAAACGCGAACCATCTCTGCAGGACATGGTCTACGGGGAACAAAAGCGCACAAAGCCTGATCTGAAACCCACTAACAACCAGGATCTACAAAAATGCGGGAAATGTAAACAAGTTTTAGACGATGTTCTTCGATTTTCTCTGAACTCTGAAGGAGATATGAAGCTTGCTCGGCATTTACTCCAGTTCATATCGTATTATGAGATGTCATCTATCGTAACTATTCCATGTGTCGAAGATGCTCATTGGGTCTTACAAGTCGTGAAAGCAATACGAGTACGTCCAAATTTTCAGCTGCCCATCTTGGCGACTTTAATTTTTCCTATGCCCCTATTGCAATGCTAAATCTAACGATTACTACGTGCATTTCAAATTCCAAACACAGGTAATCCATCCGGACTTTAAGCATTATTGCATTGTCTCTGAGGACTCAGTTGTTGTTAGCATGATCAAAAGACATGACATTAAGAGCTTGAAAGGCACTCGTTTTGTACTGTACAGGCCGCAAGCTCATGGAAAACTTCCTAATGCTGATCTCCTCTTCACATGGGCTGGGCTGGAGAAATTCAACCTTGATGAGATTTATCAGGTCTTCAAAGATACAGTTTCATCTAAAATTCGATATGCTCTCATTGGTAATTCCCCAGGACACCCCAATGCAAAAATGCATGAAATCCGCAAAGGAGTGTTTTCGGTGGTTAGGCCAGAAATTCTTGCTCTGAACGTACGCGCATTCCCTTTCGGTTTTGAGCAAGCCGATAGAGTTACGGCTGTCCTCGGAAAACAACTTCTGTTCTACAACACTAGTCGAATGAGGGATGTATGGTAAGCGTTCAGAAGCACACGTACATGAGACCTTCATAAATAGCTTTTCATCCCAATCTTGCCTGCAGAACCTTTTAGATTGATGGGGCATCCTCTTTGTAGGCTTTGTCTTTGCTATTATTCCGAATTGTTGAGAGAGTAAAAAATATGTAGGTGTTCGCATAGTGTAACTTGCTCAGGAGAAGTGCATGTCAACAGCACGTGTTATGTACTTCGGAGGATGCTCATGTACAAACATGCGATGAGAACGATTCATAGAGTTCCTAGATTCTTAGTCTTGAAAGTTGATGTGAATCTTATTGGATTCGAATATCATTTTTTTCGGAAGGATATCACCTCTTGTGTCCGACATTACTCACTTCAGGGCTTCTGTTATAATCTGGGACAGTTGCACATTTGCTGAGTCTTGAGTGTGAGGTTCCATTCTCGTTGTGTCAGAAGGGACACTGCATACATAACGCTTATCATCGGTGCTTATTGTCGAACCCACGGTTGTATCAAAAACAGGGCTGAAGCTCGAAATTATTGTGGTTTACATATGCCTTTTTGACTCTCAGTTATAGTGAACCAATCTTTTTCGGGTTATAGTCTTTCTATGAATACATACGGTCCAAGTGTGCGTATCTTATTGTTGTTTAAAACTTTAAAGTTAGATCCGTTTTCCTAATTATACTCGTGGCAACTTCATTGATTCACGCATGCCCTGGTTCTTCCACTCTGGTTGTTCAAAATCACGCTTTATATTCCCTCAAGACTATCTTCTCTGAAGAAGCTCCATTTGGAAAGGGATTTTGCGTTGAGACGAGCACATTCATAAACTTTTTAAACCGTCACACTTTTAAACAATACTGCACTCATATAGCAGATAGAGAAATTCAAACCTCGGTTCTTGACGTGGGGAAGGGTACAGTACAGTGCGCGAAATTTGCATAAATACACCCCACATCATTGCGATAAAAGCACTTTTGACACTGCCTCGAGAAGCCGATAGGGCATCACCCATGGTACGCGCGTGCGTGAGCGCGAATCTGAAGCCCAATTCTATCAAACTAAAAAGCACTCCAAGTTATCCCACAAAATGTGGGCGAAATTAGCATATGAACACGAAAGCCCATATGGTACAGTAACTTGCAATGTTTACTGTGAAGCGCTAATACTTCGTAGGGCCACCTTTCTTCTCTAGTACCTCCACAAGGCGCCGAGGAATTGATTCGTAGAGCTTATTCAGGTACTCCTCGGAAATAGAACTCCAACAATCTAGGATTCTATCAGCGAGGTCTTCCAGGTTGCTAAATTGACGCCCATGCCCGTAAACACGGCGGGCAAGCAAGCCCCATACATTTTCGATTATGTTCAAGTCTGGTGACTTCGCTGGCCACCCCAACAACTTGACATTTTTCGACGAAAACCAATTCTTGGTGTAGTTTGATGGATGACAGGATGCCCCGTCTTGCTGAAATGTCCATTCTTCATCGAATGTGTCAGCAGCGAATGGTAGCAGGTCCTCTTCCAGTACCTCACAGTAGAGCGTAGAGTCCATGTTACCTTCAACACAGACCAGATGAGACGTACCATGGCAAGAGATAGCTCCCCAAAGCATCAAAGATGCTCCTCCCTGGTGCCTCGTCGAAAAGACTTGTTCCTCTCGGCTCAAGTCGTGCCAATAGCATGCCAACCCATCTGGCCCATCTAGGTTGACGTTTTTCTCGTCCGAAAAGATTACCCGGCGCCAAAATGCCTTTCTGTTCTCCAGCCTCTTTTTGCTCCATTCCAGTCTGGCACTCTTGTGCCTCTGGAGCATCTGCGGACGCGACAGCATTTTCTTGTACTTCAAATGCGGTGCGTCACGTAGTATTTGCTGAACGCGACAGACCCCCACATCAATGTCAAGGCTCAGCTTCAGCTCCCGGCATGATTTTTCTCCCTTACTGGCCTCTCGCAGCAAAAGCCGCGTTTGCTTCTTAGAAATTTTTGTTGCGTTGCAAGTGCTTTTGCGTCCGTCAACCCGCTTTGGGTGCTTCAAAAAGTTTTGTACTGCACCTGGGGACCTGGTAAGCGTGCGAGAGATCTCGCAAACGCTCAAACACTCCTGTTTCATGGCCACAATCTGCCCCTTCTCGAAGTCTGACAGTAGCTTTCTGCGAGGCATTTTCCTTGCGATGCGAAGTTTTTTAGGCACACACAATGTGCATTGCTTATTTATCTAACTATACCAGTCACCAAATTTGTCACTCTTTCGGTTTACCGCCAACTTGGCATGGCAGTAAATGCTGTATCGTATGGTTTTTCGTGTTCATATGCTAATTTCGCCCACATTTTGCGGCATAACTTGGAGGCCTTTTTTGTTTGACAGAATTGGGCTTCAGATTCGCGCTCACGCACGCGCGTATCATGGGTGATGCCCTATCGGCTTCTCGAGGCAGTGTCAAAATTTTGAAGCACTTAAGTGCTTTTATCGCAATGATGTGGGGTGTATTTATGCAAATTTAGCGCACTGTAGCAGCCCAACTCGCATTGCACAGTGTGGTTCCACCCAGATAAGACAGCACCCCAATAAGGCACTGCCAATAGGGCGGCTCGTAGTCAGAACCAAATAAAGCCTCCGTCGCCTCCGCCCCAACAGTGGTCGGAGGCATCGGACTCTTTCTGGCACCACAGGTTATGGGCACCACATGTAGTATAATGACCGGCGCGAGCGCGCGGAGGTCATCGGACGGCCGTATACGGTATACACGTGGGCGGCTGTGCCCACGTGTAGCGAGCGCGCGCGCATGCCGAGCGGTCGTAATCTGGCGTACGTGTACAGTAGTGCACGTGTCGTCCGAGCGGTAGTCTACGCGTGTTACGCGTGCCCGTTAGCACACGTGTCGTCCGTGCGGTAGTCTGTAAGCAACACGCGTGTACAGTAGTGCACACGTGTAGTAGCAGCTTCCGTGCGGTAGTAGCAATTATGGCGCTAGTTTTTTAATTGTGTACAGTACCCGGCACGCACTAGGCGGCAGGTACTGTACTACTGTACTGGGACAGGTGTCCGAGGCGTCCCCCTGCGGGGTTAAGACCTGGTGTAGTATAATGACCGGCGCGAGCGCGCGGAGGTCATCGGACGGCCGTATACGGTATACACGTGGGCGGCTGTGCCCACGTGTAGCGAGCGCGCGCGCATGCCGAGCGGTCGTAATCTGGCGTACGTGTACGTTAGCACACGTGTCGTCCGTGCGGTAGTCTGTAAGCAACACGCGTGTACAGTGGTGCACACGTGTAGTAGCAGCGGCCGTGCGGTAGTAGCAATTATGGCGCTAGTTTTTTAATTGTGTACAGTACCCGGCACGCACTAGGCGGCAGGTACTGTACTACTGTACTGGGACAGGTGTCCGAGGCGTCCCCCTGCGGGGTTAAGACCTGGCACCCGTCCCCACCAGTAAACGGGGGCAAGCTCGCCCCCGTCCCTTTTGCGCCTACGTACGTCCGTTTCGGTTGTCCGCCGCGCGCGCTGGCTTCTAACCCGTTACCGGTCGCTCCCGTTTACGCACCACGGGGCGACTGCGCGTAACCGGCCAGTGAGCCACTCCCTTTTCGCGAGCTCGTCCGCTCGGTTCTATTAGCGCGTCGCGTCCACGCCGCGTGCTCCCTCGCTCAAGCCTCCGCCTCTCACCCAACCCAGGGCGGAGAGGTTTTATCCCACATTTGGTACTCTTGTGGAGGGCATAACTCTCGAGGTTGAGCCGCACGCGTGGTCGCTCGATCGCGCGCAGAACCGTACGGACGGAAAAGGTTGAGAAATCACCGCGTCGATCGCGAAGCGTATTCGACGATGAACCGACCGGAAGAAGGGGGAGACTCCGCCTCCGGGCGTCTGAGCACCCGCAGTGGCAGTGGCGCACCGCGCCCCCGCGTGGAGAACCCGGAAGCCCTGCTGCGACCGCCACCGCGACCGGGCCGCACGCGAGCGTCCGCATCGGATGTTACGCCGGCCGTGTCGGCAGGCACCGAGAATCGCGTCCAATGGATGGTCGACGCGATTCAGCCGCGCATCCAGGCCTGGGTCGAGGAGTTCCTCGCTACGGAACTCCCCCAGGTAGCGCGCGTATGCCTCGACCGAACGGTGCCCGCGCTCGTGGACGCGCACGTACGCAGCGCGATACCACCGCTTTTGGACGAACTTCTACCCGCTCAAGTCCAATGCGAGGTGGTGACCGCGCTCACCACTGTGGATGAAGAATCCACGTCCGGTACGGCTCTAAAGGGAGCCATCAGCTCCGCCGTGGCCAATCGTCTGGCCACGACCTTCGCCGGAGCAGGAGTCGACGCACGCGAGCAGCGCGACTCGACCGCTCCGGATCCTACGCTAACGCACGCAGAACCGATCGGCGCCGCACCCGGGATCGGTACAATGGCCCCTCACCCGGAGGGTAAGACCATTTACCTCCCACCAATTTATGGTGCTACAGGAGGGCCCACAGAAAATGGCCCTCCCGTACTCGCCGATACGGCTGGCCCCCGCGGGACAGAAAACCGCCTGGGGCGCTTCGCGACAGAAAAGCGACAGCCGTATCGGTCGAGCAGAAGAAGCGCACCCGGCGCTCAAGGCTACACCTCGGAGGGTACAGAAAACCCCTCCGAGGAAGAAGACACAAGACGTCGCCACAGGGCGACGCGCAAGAACCGCGACGGACGCTACGCGCGATACCGCGATGCCGGAGGGGTCGGGTACCCCTCCGATGATAACCGCGACGGACGCTACACGCGATACCGCGATGCCGGAGGGGTCGGTTACCCCTCCGATGATAACCGCGAAGGACGCTATACGCGATACCGCGATGCCGGAGGAGGTGGATACCCCTCCGATGACGAGGACACCGAGTCGGACGGATCGCGCAGAGGCGACCGCAGAGGTCGCAATGCGCGCGACCGACGTCGGTTCCGGCGAGAAGACTCCGATCCGGAGGGCTACAGTAGCCCCGGCGGAGAAGGAGACCGCCACCGCAGGGGCAGAGACCGCCGGTCTGCCCCGAGGCGGGATCCGAAACGGCTGCCGGTGATCAGGCCGCTGAACGACCTGTTCACCAAGGCCGTCGACTACCGCACGTATAGGCTGGAAAATCGCAGCGCGCGCTACGACGCGAGTACCGCGCGGCGAGTTAACCGATATCGGAAGAAGTTGGACGTCCAGCTGAAAACCCACACATTCGGTGGTCAAGATCCAATCGCGGTGCTAGGATTTCTCGCGCGCTTCAAGATGGCCTGCGACCACAATGGGGTCAGCGAAGGCGCGGCCGTATGGTGTTTCCAGTTTTATTTGACTGGGCAGGCTCACGCCTTGCTCCAGTCCAGGCTACACGGGAACACCATGGCGGTCGATGCGGAGGAGCGCGATATGCTCGAAACCTACGCGGAAGTTGTTAACTTTTTATTGCGCACGTACGCGACTGACGAAGTTATTTCCGAAGCGGTCGGTGATGTCACCTCCTTCCGTCAGAGCTCTAATATGACGGAGGAGGTGTACAGTAACCAGTTGTGGGACAAGGCGTTGCGCTGCGGAACCGTATTTTCGGACAGGCGCCTGAAGTCCCTTTTTGTTGAGGGACTTCTGCCAGCGACGTGCGCGCAGGTGCGGAATTATCTCGCGACGCATCCGGGCGTGGACTACCAAGCGGTGGCACGCTACGCGCAAGCGATAGGCGAGACGCACCGCTCGGCTCGAAGACAGGCGACCTCGCTCGCGTCGCCTCAAGCACCGTCCGATTCGGTGAGAAGATTCACGCGCAACGCGCGGACAAGGCCCGTGCTGTCGGTCGAGTCCCTGTCTGAACTCCCGACAGCGCGCGGAACCGAAACGGAGGAGATACTGGCGGTGACGGACCAGTCGGCGACGCCGAGCTCGCTTAGCTCGCCGCCGACTAGCTACCATCCGTCACCTGCCTCGTCCCCGGCGGGCGCGCCGATGGCGCCCGCCCAACACGGTGACGCGCGCGCACATCCGTACGGAAGGCCAGTACAGAACCAGCGGGTCCGGTTCTTCAACCAAGGATTACCGGGACCCCCGCCGTGCCGGTTCTGTCTGGACCTGACCCACCGACAGGAGCAATGTCCTGTGGTGGCGGATAGCGCGCTGCGTTCGAAGCTTTTGCAGGCCCGCGAGGCCAATTATCAAAAGCTTCGGATCCGTCAAGGTCTCCGCCCGGGTTCGCCGTTCGAGCGCCAACCGCCGACCGCGTGGCGAAATTCGCGTGCGCAGGCTCCCACGGGCATCAACGTGGTCGAGCCGCGCGAGGCCGTCCAATCGGAAGAACCCGCGCTACCGCTGACGGACGAGGGGCCCGAGGACCTTGGGTTGACGGGGGAAGCCGGGGAGGACGCGTAGAGGCGTCGACGATCCTCCCCGTGCCAAGCCTCAATAAACAAGGCGCCCCGTCGACCGCTTCGGTACGCGCGCCATCGCAGAGCCGAACGGACGAAGCGGCAATTTGCTTCTTCAAGAAGCAAAATTATAAGGTCACCGCAACGGTCGGACGACGACGCGCGATGATGCGCGCCATCACGCCGGTTCTAGATTCGGGCGCCGGCCCGAATCTAATCCACCTACGCTGTGTGGCAGAACCGTGGCGCGCTGCCATCCAGTCCGCGCGGAGCCCGCCGCTCATCGACGCTTCGAATAGGTCGATGAAGGCCCTCGGCGAGCTCAAACTGTACGTCCGGATTGGTGAGTTCGTCGCGCGCGTGCCGTTCTTGGTCGTCACCAACCTCGCGGTGGACTGTATCCTCGGGACCACGTTCCTGGATCGCCACGTGAAGGCGATCCTGCCACCGCAGAGGAAGGTGCTGTTCCATCATGCGGCGTCCGTAGCGCTGACGGGAGTCACGCCCTCGAGGCACGACCGCAAGATGGCCTCGAGGGGACCGTCGCAGCAGCTCCCGCAGGAGGAAAATTCGGCCGACCGGAAGCGCGCGCAGTTCCCGACGAACGTACCGTCACGGAAAGTTCGCGTGGTCAAGGGGGTCACGATACCCCCGATGACCCAAGCGATGGTACGCGTCGCAACACCGGTTGGGGGGCTTTGCTTCCTGCAAAACCACCCCAAAACGGCGCATAAGAATTTATGCCTGATGGCCCAGGGGGTCATGGACCTCTTCCCGGGCGAGCCGTTTACG